CTGACCTAGCTGCCCCGCCATGGCCCGTTCCCTGTGGCCTCTCCAAGGTAAGCCCTGCTGAAGCTGTGCCCTGCTGGTGGAGGTGGGCCCAGGTTGGCTCAGCAATGATCAGGTGTGGCCATCTAGGTCAGCTTGAGGGGCCTGAAGTCCCAGCTGGCTGGGTGCTATGTGTCCTTCTGGTTCTTGGCCTCCATGTGGGCTGGCTCTTTGTGGTGGAGTCTTCGTCAGGTCTGGAGTAGGACACGGGCTTTTCCCAGAGCTGGGCTTTCTGCTTTACTGGCACTGTGCCAGTGTGAGGCCACAAGGTCAACTCAGCCACTGACTAAAGTGGCCTGTTGGCAAAGGTGTATTTTCTTCCCATTCTGCGTTCAAAAGCTGGCTGTGTCTGAAACTTCCTTCTGTCTCGGAGGACTTCACCAAAGGGCTCGGCGGAGGGCAGCTGCATCTTCCCCATCCTGCCCCTTCCCCTTATTAGCCATGTCCCTCAGGGTCTGGCCTCTATCGAGAATGGGCTGGGTGGAGGGTGTGGTTTAGCAGCTGCTCTGCTCCTTCCCTGTGGGCCTCACACCTGCCGCATGCAGCACATGCTTTCTGACCTCAGTTCTTGGTGGGAATCTTCGGTTGCAAGTATCTGGCCCACTCGAGAAGAGTTTTCAGAAAGACATAGGGCAGCTCACATCGTGGAAGGGGAAGGGTGCTGGGGGGCAGTAGTGGGCACCTCTGAGGGTCCAGGGCAAGAGAGGGGCTGACTGGTCTTGCCCAGGGTCCTGAGCGGCTGGCCCCACGGCTGCCATGTGCCCATCAGTCCCAGGTATCGGGGAGAGTGTGACGGCTGTGGAGGTTCTTCTGTTTTAGTGGAAGACAAAATATATGGAGCGTTTAATGTCACACAGTGATAAGCACATGCAGTGGGGTGACCTGGGCAGGAGGACGTCTCCGTTTGTGGTGACATCTGCCTGTGTGTTGACACTCTCTGGCTGAAGTGCACTGACGTGTCTGCTTCTTTCTTTAAGGGAGCAAAGCTTGTATTGGCTTGCAATTCAGCAGCTTCCCACAGACCCCATAGAAGAGCAGTTCCCTGTCCTAAATGTGACCCGGTACTATAACGCCAATGGGGACGTGGTGGAAGAGGAGGAGAATTCCTGCACCTACTACGAGTGCCATTACCCGCCCTGCACAGTGATCGAGAAGCAGGTAGGTGTGCTACAGTGAGGCGTGGCCACCTCCACTCTGCAGCCCGCCTTGGTATAGGTCTCGTCCCCTCCTTGTGGAGCTCATCCCAGCAGACCACTTGGTGCCTCTCGGCCTCTCCCCTCATGAGACAGCTCTCCCTTTGCTGTAGAGTTGGCCTATCCAGGGCCCAGGTCCTCCAGCCTCAGTACCTGGGGTTTTGCCAGGTCTTTCCAGATTCCAGGACGTAGCTTCCACCCACACTGCTTCCCAGGTGAGACAGTGAGGCCACGGTGCTTTGTGTTTCAGCTCCGGGAGTTCAACATCTGTGGGCGCTGCCAGGTGGCCCGATACTGCGGTTCCCAGTGCCAGCAGAAAGACTGGCCAGCCCACAAGAAGCACTGTCGGGAGAGGAAGCGTCCTTTCCAGCACGAGCTCGAGCCGGAGCGATGACTGGCAACGGAGCTACTGCCTCATGCTTGCGGCTCTGGGCTCTTCCTTGGGCACAGCAGACAGACTACTGGTGGTTGGACCTGGAGACGTGAGAAAAGCCAGCTACTGGCCCAGAACAGCCACCATGAGACTCCCGATGTCACGCACAGTTTGCGGGGACAGCACCCGCTTCAGTGTTAATCTCCAGCAGAGACAACCGGGGAGGCTCCCGCCAGGACGTTTCTCATTATTTATATGTTAATATGTTTGTAAACTCATGTACAGTTTTTTTTGGGGGGGAGGCAGTGGGAGGGGTAGAAATTACCAATAGAATCATTTGCTGTAATCCTCAAATGGCAAACAGGCCACATGTCTGAAAACTGTCATGTAGCCAAAGCTTCCTCCTGGGTGTCGGGATCCCATGGAGCGCGGCCTGCATGGGAGTTGTGTCCAAAGGGTCAGAGTAAAGGGGTGGAATCATCTCGCGTCTCCGCCGTTCTCTGTGCTCTGCTTCACTCCCTGTGCTGTTTAGGGTTAGATTACTTTTGAGTGGAACCAGGGAGTCAGGGTGGGTGTGGGGTGAGAGGCCTGTCCTCGCTGTCTGCCAGCTCTTCTGAGGAGCAGAGCATGCTCAGACCTCTCTAGAGTCTGGCCAGGAGCATGCATGAGACCCAGGCCCATTCTGGTTCTGCAGGAGGACTGAGTGCTGGAGGTGTTCAAGGAGGGTGGCCACTGTCTTACTGGGTGTGGGATGCTCTAGGCCCCAACATTGGTGAATCTCACTGTGATTTATTTATTTTTTTTTTTGAGACAGAGTCTCACTCTTTTTGCCCGGGCTAGAGTGAGTGCCGTGGCGTCAGCCTAGCTCACAGCAACCTCAAACTCCTGGGCTCAAGCAATCCTTCTGCC